ATCACTTATTGGAGGAGAGATCTATTTTTCCTCACAGTTTTCAGTGGATTCACACTATGGTCACCCAGCTCCAATACAGAAATGGCATGGCAGAATGTGTGTTAGAGGAAAGCTGTTCACCACCTGGCAGCCAAGAAGCAGAGAGAAAAGGAAGGAGACTGAAATATACCCTCTCAGGGCACACTTCAGTGACCTGCATCTTGTAACGAGGCATTCCCTTTAAATATGAGAGTTTTATAAGACAATTTAGGTCTAAATGCATCATCTTACCGATGGTCCCCAAAAGTTTCATGCCCATCTCATTATGTAGTGTGCATTTAGTCTATCTCTAAAGAATCATCAGAGGTTTAACACTGCTAGCATTGCCAAAAAGCCCAGATCCAAAGTCTCTCTGCAATGCTAGCCAAGTTCTTAACTGTGAGACCCTATACAAAATCAAAAAGAAAGTTAAGCACTTCTAACATATGTCACAGGATAAACATTCATTCCCATTCCAAAAGGAAAGGATAGGAATAGGCAGAAATGAGATCAAAGCAAGACCAAAACTCAGCAAGGTAAACAGGAGATCCTGTAGCTGTATCTTCACACTTGGGGCGGGTTGTGGTAAAGTGTGAGTTCAGAAGTTAGACCTTGCTGGTTACAACTCACCTGGCCTTTCACTTGGACTGGTTCCCCTCACTTTCTATATAACTTTCCTCTGAAGACATTGCATGTTCCAGACATCTCCAGCTTCCTGGGACTACACAGTTTAGCTCTGCTCACAGCTCATGCACAGTCCCCTCATGGGCTCCTAGAAAAGACTGACCTTGTCATATGTTTTTAACTGGCCTCCCAGGACTTTTTCTGAAATATGAGTGGAAGCTTCTGTGGCCCATAACTCTTACTTTTGGCATGCCTAAAAAATCAGCACAGTCTGGGTAGCACCAAGGTTGAGCAGTAGTTAGGCCCCCTTGGACCATGACTGGATGGCCTCTTAAGTACCTGGATGGCTGAATTTAGGGATGCACTTCCCTACACAGCCCTGAATGAGTAGATATCCAAGAGACTCTCTTCCTAAAGATTTAGGGTTTTGTACCCTTGAGCCTACAGGAGATAAGGTTTTGCTTTTTTCTGAAATGTCCTTGAGTCATCTTTTCTATTAATCTGATGAAAAATACAGTAGTACCTCAGTTCACAAATGCTTTTGTTTGCAAATAGTTTGTTTCACAAACATACATTAGGCAAAATTTTGTTTTTGTTTATGAACTCTCTATCCAGTAATGAACATGAACATAGCCATTTTTCCCACATAAAAATCGATGTGGACATGTTTTCCAGATTCATGGAACACAGTTTATAAACTGAGCTATCATTATAATTGACTTCCTTTTTGGTGCTAATCTTTTTAGCAATGGTCTCTTTTGGTCCAACTTTGTAGGATAAAACTACAAACTTTTCAATCATTGAGCTCTGCTTTTTCTTCCTAGTTTTCACTGTAGATCTGGCTAAAAGCAGCCAACAGTACAAGCTAACCATTGGGCTGCCCTAAAATTTTCTCTAATAAATTAATTAGTATGCTACCCTTAATCTCATTCTCCTGTAGTCTCAGGACATGGACAAAACAGACAAATATTTTGTCAGAATGTAACACATGGCCTCTAGTAAGGTTGCCAACAGAGTCCTTGTTCCCACCTGAAACCTCCTGAGCCTAGCCTTTTTACTGTCCACACTCTTGTCAGCATTCTGACCTTCGGAGTCCCAACCAGAATTTCTCATCACTCTCTGCTCACAGTACTCTACAGGTTCTCTATCCCATTTTTTCAAAGCATTGTATTTATTTATTTTTCCAAACCATTTTTTTAAGTCAAGGTCTTTTGGCTGAGTCTTACATTATCCTCAGTTTTTGTTGCATATGTCTTTGGATTTTTCTGTGACTGTCTTTCTGGGGTAGTGTTCTTATAATTGCTGTATCAAAATGTGAAAACACTGGCAGATGGCCCCTCAGAACAGTTGTACGAATTTACACTGCTACAGCAGGCATGAGCCTACCTTCTTCTCTTACCTCCTGTGCTTATCTACTGGAATAAAAATAGAAGGAAGCAGGGTTGTACATAGAACCAAGAAAAATATGGGTTATTTTCAGACTCTTGTAATAGTTCTCCCTTTTTCCCCCAACTCTTCAAATTGGGTACCCCAAGGACACTCCTATATCTGTACTCATCCCCCTGGTGACTTCATCCAAGTTGATTGCTTCAAATACCAAATAATGTGCAGATGACTCCCAAGTACCATCTACAAGGCACCTGGAATTCATGTATCTGCCCCAGGAATTCATGTATCTGCCCCAGGAATCTCCTGGTTGTCTAGTACACATTAATGGGACTCCTGATCTCCTGGTCTACATGTTCCACCCAGTTACCCCAAAACTTTTTTCCATACCCTACAATCAGACCATCAGGAGCTGTTTTTGTCTTTGAATTAGGACCAGATTCCGAAGTGCTTTTTACCCCTTGGCTACCACTATGGTTTGAGCTGCCATCATCTTTAGATTATCCCTCCCTGGTTCTGCCATGGCCCCCCAAATGGTCTGAAAATAAATTAACATCCTGCCAGGGAGATAGCTCAATAGTACAGCACCTGCATGGCAAGTGCAAGGTCTTAAGTTCAATTCCCAGTAGAAAAAAAAAAAAGAAAAGAAATTAACATCTCAACATCACAGTTACATCACGGATCTCTTTTTCTAGTGCACTTCACAGATACAGATCCATCCTCGGCATATTCTAGTGTCACCTTCTCAGGAAGGAAGCTCCAATAAATAAACAGGAAGGAAGTGCCCCTCATTCTATCCATCTGCTCTAGCTGTCTATTGGCAACCCCTTCCACAGTGCTATTTAGCAGGGATGCCTGCAGGTGAGCCCCAGTCTCCTGCCCAGATTATTCACCTGGTGGGAAAGAAAATAAGCAAGAGACAAAAGTGGCGGGTGCATCGCCAGTTGTTCTGAAGAACAAAAGGCCACAAGACATGCAGACTCTTGGTATTCATTCATTACATCTGAATCAGGGACAGTGGGGAAGGGCAGTGGATGTTTATGGTAACTACAGCGGGCTAGGAAGATCAAAACATTCTTGCAAGGACATGTACAGGACTAGAAGTGGGCAGTAAGAAAACTGTAGGTTTCCCAGGTACCTTATACCCTTTAGCAGGTCTTTTCCTGCTCTATGAGAGCCATAGCAGTCACTAGCCCGAGGGCTTCCAGCTGTGACCAGAAATGAGCAGAGTTTCCACGCAAACGGACAGGATGAGGAGAAGCTAACTGTCATTATAATCAGTTTATAATTTGTGGTCTCCAACAGCATTCATTTTTTTCCCCCTGAGAATGAAATGCAAGGCCTTGCACATGCCAGGCAAGTTCTGCCCCTAAGCTCCAGCCCTAGCCCCTGACTGTCCACTCAAGTGCTGTTGCTTTCCTCACCTTTATGACTCTCACCTTTTTTACTGCCTTCCAGCAGCCTCTCATTTGCCTCTGTGTGCTGTTGCTCTCTGCCTGCTTGTAAAGCACATGGTCCCTGGAGCCAGTGCTCTTTGTCCTGGCCATTGGTATAATCCATGAGGTGGGAACAGGAGTTGGCCTGCTAGGAATTTGATTACTGTGTAGACTATTGCCCAAGAGGCACAGAGAGCAATGAGGCCCCATAAGACACACTTGAAGGCAGATGACCAGAAAGGAGCCAGAGGGCGCTTCTCTTGTCAGAGCCTCTGTTGGTGGGGTCTGTATGTCATGCTGCTCTGGGAAGCCTGACTGCAGTCGGGACTGACTACAGTGGGACAGAGCGCTGTGTCTGCCTGGACTGTTTAGGGGATACTGCACAGCAGTCCCCTTTGACAAGTTACAAGTAAAAATGTCAACTTAAAAATTTTTATAGCAGTTATCTAAAGATTTTATTTGGTTCATTTTCCATTTTAAAAGGTCAGTCCTCTTTGTCATCATAACTTTCAAATCATCTAAAACCTTATCCCCCCCCCCGATTTATAGGTGAGACAACACTGAAATCTTTTCAGTTATAAGACCACTGAGGGCCTGCGAGATAGCTTAGTGGACTAAGCACCTGCTTTAGCAAGCACAGGGACCAGGGTTCAATCCCCATCCTGCATGCCACACCGGCCCCACATCTGGGCTGCGCTGAGCCAGCTGAGCTGGTGACCGAATCCAGGTGTGGTGGCCCATGCCTGTAATCCCAGCGTTAGGGAGTCTGAAAACAGGAGCATAATTATGAGTCCCTGCTGCATAGTGAGACCCTGTACCAAATACATTAAAAAAAAATATATATAAAAAAATATATATATATATATATATATATATATATATATATATATATATGACCACTGAGAGTTAGTTTTTGCCAATATATTTAAGAAAGTTATTGGCTTGAGTTGATCATCTTAAAAGTGCATTATAAAAATATATATAAATTTTGTAAGAATATTGAAAAACATGAAATTTTACATTAATGTACATTAATCAATGTACATACAATTCTATTTCTTCTGCTTACTGCTACTAAAAAGCTGATTGTTACTTCAATAAAGGCCTTTTTTTGGGGGGTACTGGGGATAGGACTTGGGACCTTACACTTGCCAGGCAGGCACTTACTCCACTGAGCTACCTCCCTGGCCTAATAATGAACTTTTTTTGTTTTCTTAGACTTTATCAGTAAATGTTTGCTGCTTTGATTATTGGCCTGCTTGTTATCTGTTGTCATTATCTAGAATTGTTTCTCACGTTTGGGGTTAGCGCATTGATTGGACATCCTGACAGGGCTCCTAGGAGCACACCCTCCTAGCACCTAGAAATCAGGCCAGGAAGCTCACTCCAAATCCTCCCATGAGCTCCGCTGCCTGTGAACTGGGGCCTGGCAGTGCAGCACTAGAGGGGGCTCTGAATTGGGACCTGCCCAGGTGTAGATGACAGTGGTACTGATTCTGAGGCTGGAATAATAATGTGTGCTTTCCTTTCTCATAGTTGTTTCCTCTCTTTGCTCTTGGTGGCTGCTGTGGTTTGGAAGATCAAACAAAGTTGTTGGGCCTCCAGGCGTAGAGAGGTAAGCTTCTTGAATAGAGATGAAGAACTCCCAGAAGAGCTTTCTCTCTGAGGCAGGTCACTTTGTTTAGTGATTACCGATAGAATGTGATCCCCTCTGCAGGATGGGGTTCTACAGCAGTCAGTAGACTCAAAGTAATCCGATGTGGAGCATCCTTAATTGTGCCACAGCCATGGCCACCCCTTGATTTGGCATAGCCTTCTCAAGAGCCTTTCATAAGAACGAGAATAAAGGAGCCAGGTGCATTGGTGCATGCACACCAATAATCTCAGCACTCTGGGTGGCTGAGGCAGGAGAATCACATGTTCAAACCCAGGAAAGGCCCGACGGGCAATTTAGTGATTTAGTGAAAACCTGACTCAAAAAACAAAAAAAGAGGACAATGGAACCATGTGGCTTCGTAATCCTACCACTTCGCTAAAGTCAGGCCTTGTTTCTTCCTCCTGAAACTAAGCCAGATGTTTGTACAGCAGTAGAACATTGTGCCTCTTTGCACAGAAGATAGAACTGAGAGAACTCTTCTTTCAGAGACAGAGTAAGCTAACAATACAAGTGGGAAACCTGAAAACTAAGCTTTTACCCTTGTGGTTCAGAATGTTTCTGTAACTCTGAACCTGATGATTCATCATGTATTTCATCATTTCCAGAAGATCAGTAGTGTTTTATATTGCCAGTCAGGACACTTAAAATCCTTGCACACACTATGCCCTGCTTGGAGTGCCTCTACCCACATCAGCTCCTTGCACTGCTCAAAGGCTGTGGAGTAGGAGCTGTACAAGGGGAGGAGCCCTGTCTCGCTGTGACTCCAGTACTTAGGTTAGCACAGAGCAGAGTGCTGGATTCTGCATGCAATTGCTGAGTAAATACATGGACTATCTTTCCTTTTTTTTTTTTTTTTTTTTTTTTTTACTTTTTGAGGCAGGGTTTTCCTATGTAGTTCACGCTGGTCTTGAACTCACTTTGTAGCCAAGGCTGGCCTCACACTCACAGTGATCCACCTGATCCTCCTGTTTCAGCCTCCCAAGTGCTGAGATTACAAGCATGCGCCACACCCCCAGCACCCATCATCTTTTTCAAATGTAAAAACCTACTGTTTTAATGTAAAAATTCCCTTTTAGGGCAGAGCCATAAGCTCTGCGGCCCAGGATTCTGTCTCTTACCATGGTTCCTAAGAAGCTCTGTATGTCGTCCAACTCAAAGTCTCAAGAACATATCCAAAAGATCTCTGATATCTGCAAGGATACATGGGTGACCGTGTACCATGTGCTTGACAGTGTCTTACCTGATCCTAATGATCCTAATGGTATCAAAATGGATTCAGAGAAGAGCAAACTGAAGCCCAGATATGTTAAGCACACCTTTCTTTTTTTCTTTCAACTTTTGTTAAGACAGCTTTTTTTTGTTCCAGGCTGGCCTCAAACTCACAACCCTCCTCCCTCAGCCTTAGTGTGGAGGATTATTGACATGCATCACCACAGCTTGTACACACCTTCCTTAAGGTTGTAAAGCTGGAGAGAGTTGGAACAGGGGTTCACATCCACATTTCTCTGAGTCTAGATCCCCTGCTGTTCCTCTGCTCTGCAGAATTTCCCATTCATAGTGAGACCCTGTAGATCCTGTAGACCCTGTACCAAATACATTAAAAAAAAAAAAAAAAAGAATTTCCCATTCATGTTAGCTTATGGCATCTCTGAATGAAGAGTTCTCTCAGTTCTCTCTGCTGTGCAATAAGACATGATATTTTGTTGCTATACAAATATCTGGTTCAGTTTCAACAGGAGCAAAGCAGGCCTGACTTTAGCCAAGTAATAGGGATATTAAGCAATAAGGCTTCATCAGTTTATGTATTTAACCTGCAAACATCAAAGCATAACAGCCACCCTTACTTTACTGTATATCTCTAGCAGGTAAAGTGCTTTTAAAGATACAATAATGTTATCACATGCAACAAAATTTAATAATTTCTGATGTTAACTAATATCTAATCCATGTCCATTTTTCCCCCAGCTATCACTTTAGATTTGATTTACTTGAATAAGGGAAGATAAGGTATTTTTAATATGCACTGCTCAATAATAGAATGCCCTTGATATTCATTGCATAATGCTTGCTATATTATCTATTAGCAACTTCTTCGAGAGATGCAACAGATGGCCAGTCGACCCTTCGCCTCTGTAAATGTTGCCTTGGAAACAGATGAGGAACCTCCTGACCTGATTGGGGGAAGTATCAAGGTAAGAACTTTATTTGAAAGTCCCCATAAGTTAACTCTTCAGAACTCAGACTTCTGAACCTGGTACATGAGTGAGGAAAGGACCTTGTTCAGTTTTTCTTCTTTTTCTCTCTTTTAACACTAAGCTAAAATGCTGAAGTGTCAAGTACTCTTCTGCGTTCATTTTCTAGTCTTTGGTCATGTTGTTAAGCAGTCTTATGTTCAGGGGATTTTCACATATCTGGTGCTCTTTTAAGTATTCTGAGGCAAAATAGTTTTTGATTTGATGTGATTTTTTTTTTGATGTGATTTTGATTGGCTAATTTTTGATTTGAAATTCACCCACCTAGATGATTGTTCTTTATATAATAGTATTCTTGGGGTGTTTTTTTGAAAGCAGTGAAATAATAACTTCCTATATATTCTGTGAAAAATAAGTATTTTGCCTCCCCCCAAAAATTGTAGTGATAGAACTTTCTTGACAAATGGTGAAATATGTCAGATAGTTTGGGAAAACAACTTTATATCCTGAATAAGACATACTTTTTTAAGATTACTGAGCTCCTAGAAAGAAGGCAAAACCTCCAAAAACTACTTTTGCTTTCTGCCTCTAAAAAGAATTAACAGTGAACCAAAACCAGAGCCTGGTTCCAGGCAGATAACACATCACAGCTTCCTGCTACAATGAAAACATCACCAGTTCCCGTAGGAGTCCCACAGCAGGATCAAGCAACTGATGATCAACGAGTACAAGAAGAGGCGGCCACAGTAGGAAGAGTTAGAAACAACAGGAGGTAGATTTAGACAGCACCGCACATGTTACAGCAGACATCTAAAGAACGTAATGCAGCTATGTAGGAAGTGTTAAAGGAAATAAAAAATCATGAAGATGATGAAGCCATGAGAGTCAATAACCAGTGGAATCTTGTAGAAATGAAAAATATAGTTGTTGAAATTTCTAAAATAACTCAGAAATAACATATTAGACACAAATGAGAGAATTTTAGAACTGAAAGAGGAATGTGAAAGTTACACAGAAAGTAGCACCAATTATAAGGTCATGCATGATGACATACAATATATGTACTTTTAGATTCCAGAACAAATAAATGGAAAGAAGTGGCAAAGATTTAATGACTGAGAATTTTCCAGAACTGATGAAACATATGTACATAAAGATCCCAAAGCAAAATATATCATACACAGGATTATAGAAAGCAAGCAAAAAGAAAAACAAGGGGGGCATGAGCGGACAGCAGCCAACAAGGGCGTCTGCGGCGCGGACCATGCTGGGTGGGCTGTGCCCAGGGGCCTGTCGGGAACGCATGCGCCTCTGTGGGCGGTGGTGCCTCAGGCGTTGCACGTTGCTGGCTCTTGGTTTGTGGTGGGGCAAGCAAGGGGCAGAGCAGCCTCCCTGTGCCTTCAACCCTGCGCTGCTGGAGTTCCTGGTGTGTTTGCTCTCCCAAGAAGCCGCTCCGATATGAAGCATCCACAAATGAATTGATCAATGAAGAGCTGGGGATAGCTTATCCAATTATTGATGGGATTCCTAACATGATACCACAAGCAGCTAGAGCAACGCATCAACAGAAGAAGCAAGAAGAAACAGAGCAGCATTGAATCAACGTTTTAAAAAAGAACACTGCTACATTTTCTTAATTTTTGTATACACTTTAAAACAGGGCCGCAGTGGTTTGTGAGTGAGGAGGCAGAATGCTTCTGTCTCTGCCTACTCTGACTGTGCTTATTCCACTGATCTCCTTAGCAAGACTGTTCTACTCAGCCTCTGTGGAGGAAGACTTCCCACAGGGCTGCACAAGTACAGCCAGCCTTTGCTTTTACAGTCTGCTCTTGCCCATCACCATAACAGTGTATGTGTTCTTCCACCTCTGGACCTGAATGGCTATTAAGCTCTTCAGGCATAATTGACACAGCCACAACCATGTGGCTATGTATTAAGTCCTAAGCACTTGGTGTTTGAAAGCTCAGCGAGGTGGAATGCTGGAGACCTGTTTAGTTTGGAGGAAAGTTGCTTTGCCTTGCTTAACTCAGTTTTAGGACTAAATGGCATAAGATGCAGAAGCTTTCATTGTACTTCTAGTTCTGCCCTTGTTTTTTGAAGATTCTGACTGCTGTATCATAATAAAATGTCGTGATGGAGATTAACTCCTCTAAGCATAAAAGAAAAAGAAAAGCAAGAAGAAAACTGGTGGATTTACCACAGTGAAACCACAGAACTCCAAAGACAATGTCTTAAAATCAATCAAATAATTGATTTACCTATAAGGCAAATAAATTGAAATCCATGTGCACTTTTGGTGGAAATATAAAATGATACAGGCCCTGTAAAACAGTATTGCTATTCATTTTTTTAAAAATTAAAAGAAATATATGATCTAACCTTTCCATTTCTGGATATATACCTAAAAGCAGTATCTCAAAAGAGATAGTTATATAACAATATTGTTCTTGTTTGAGACAGAGTCACTTTGTAGTACCGGCTGGCCTTAAACTCACTTGTGCAGTCCAGGTGGGCCTTGAGCTCATGGCAATCCTCTTGCCTTGGTCTCTGGTTCTCACTCTTGTTCTCCAATTGGACAACCAGTAGCATTAAATATTTCACTTGTCTTCCACATTTCCAGCCACTGCCTCACCTCCGCAATTGCTATAATCCACCGTCATTGCTCACTTTTTTTTTTTTGGTTCAATATTGGGGATTGAATTTAGGGCCTTCATACTGAGCTACAGCCTCTTTTTTAATGTTATTTTAAGAGTATCTCATTAAATTGCTGATGCAGGACTTAGTTTGTAATTCTCTAGCCTCACCCCTCTAAAGTTCTGACATTACAGGCAAGCAGCACATGCCTGGCTCCATTTTCTTACATAGATAGGCACTTGGAGTCCTCTCCTCTCCCCAATCACTCAGCAAATTGTGAGGTGATTTTTTTTAATACTGCTAAGCTATGAGCCTCATGAAGGCAGGCGTTCAACTGGATTTAGTTCATTTCTAGTATCAGGGAGAAGGTCTAGAACCACCAAAAACTTGGTAATTTTTTCTCCTTAAAATTTTTAACCGACTAATCATGAGTTTTACAGTTTTCTAGCACTCATATGCCAAAAAATCATGGTTTTTTGATTTTTGAATTATTTCTGTGTAGACTTTTATTAGTATGTTTTTAATAATGGACTATGGTTAAATTTCTAAAGTAAGGCTCCCGTAGTCATACTGCAGTATGATTGTATCATAGGCTATGAGTTCTCTTTGCTAGGAGTTTAAGGTTATGCTATTACAGTTGTTTTCTTTTTTGTATGCTTTGTCAGATTTTGACATCAAGGTTATATACTGGTACCTCAGTTCACAAACTTAATTTGTTGTACAATTTTGGAAAAGATGGCTGCATGCAAGCGTGTATGTATGTGTGCATGTATGTGTGTGTGTGTGTGTGTGTGTGTGTGTATGAAAGATGGCTACAGTTGTGTGTGTCACTCAATGCAGAGTTTGCAAACAAAAACAAAATTTTGCCAAACCACATCCGCGAACTAAGGTACCATTGTACCTATATTTTCATGGTTTATTTTATTAGACCATTGTTTTATTTTCAACTTTTTTATATTCTTATGTTTTAAATATCTTCTGTAAACAGCATGAAGTTTCTTAGTGTAATTAATTCAGTAGCTGGCAGGACTGTGGGTCCAACCCAGGGGCACTCTACCATTGAGCTATGTCCCATCCCTTTTCATTTGTCAGTTTGAGAGATGGTCTGGCTAAGTCACTGAGTTGCCCAGGTGGCACTTGATTTGCAGTCTTCTTGCCTCTGCCTCCTGCAGTGCTGGCATAACAGGCAAACATCACTGGGGCTAGCTTCATCCAGGTTCTTGCGGTTGCCTAATAACTGAATTTCCACCACTGCCATTTCACCCATCTGGTCGGTTCCCTGTACCACAACAGAGGAGTACTAGAGATTATTTTCTTCAATCAAATTGAAGAAATTTATGACATTTGTGATTAATGGTAGACAGAATTCTTTTTGGATTTTTTTTTTTTTTGTTTTGGTTTTGGTGTTTTGTTGTTGTTGTTGTTTGTTTTTTGGTGTTTGGTTTTTTGTTTTTGTTTTTGTTTTGTAGGCAGAGTTCTAAATGTGGCTCTCAGTTCCTATCTTCTGGTTATTCAGTCAAACCCACCCCAGGCATTATGAAGGGATTTTGTAAATGTAGTAAAATTCCCTTCATAGCAGTGCCTTTGGCTGGTGGCAGAAGGGGAAGCGAGGCAGGAAGGGCTGGGGGATCCATATGAGGAGGAGGAGGAGGAGGGAGCCTCCAAGAGAGGAGAATGGTTCCTGACTGACAGCCAGCAAGGAGATGGGCGTCTTTGCCCTCAGTGGATCTGCTGGGAGCTGAATCCTCCAACAACTAGAAAGAGTTTTAAATCCAATCTTCCCTGTCCCCCAGAGAAGAGCACAGCACAGCCAACAATTTGACTTCCACCTTACCAGCTGCACCTAAGAGAGGCTGAGCACTGTCCAGAGCTGATGAGGCCTGAGTTTCTAAGCAGAGAGCCCCAGAGCAGCACTCACTCCTGCTGCTAGGACTGTGAGGTGGTAAGGGCTGTTGTGTAAACAACTGAGTCTGCTGCTCAGCAACAGAAACCTGTGGGCATCTTTGCACATCACATCTCAAAGCCGCAGCAGAAAACAAGGATGTATTTTCCAGAGCCAGGTGCACCCAAAGATTCCATAAGAAACTGTCTGCTTCTTCCAAGCTCTTTCATCCGGGAGGCCTATTTACTTAATACCTGTAGACTGGTGAAATAAGTGAATTTACAAAAAAGTCTCCATAATCCCAAGATCTGGTATGAGCCAGGCATACAGAACTCACTGACAAATCTGTCAGATATGCACTGCCAGTCTGTGCCTTGCAAGTGTGAATTAGGATTTCAAGGTAAGTAAAAGTGCAGAGCCCAAGCCAGGTGTGGTTGTATGTGCCTATAATCCCAGAATTTGGGATGCTGAGGCAGGAGGATCACCATGAGTTTGAGGTCAGCTTGAACTACATACGAGTTTAGGGCCAGCCTGAACTACAAAACAAGACCCTGTCTCAAAAAAAAAAAAAAGTACAGAGCCCTGGTGAAGCCACCTAGACATCACCTCCAACAGTTCAGGCTTCCCTTGGGGAGGTAGATGCAGGGAGCTCTGGAGAAGGCGACAAGCAATACCATCCTTGTGCATGTTGAAAAACTAATGTGTCTTCCTCCACACACCTCAGATTGTCCTTGTAAGCACCAGTGAGCAGGACATATCTGGCTGGGTGAGAGTTGGAGGAACACTGCTTTAGGTAATTCTTTTCTTCCACAGACTGTCCCCAAGCCCATTGCCCTGGAGCCATGTTTTGGCAACAAAGCTGCTGTCCTCTCTGTGTTTGTGAGGCTTCCGAGAGGCCTGGGTGGAATCCCTCCTCCCGGGCAGTCGGGTAAGTCAGGGGAAAGACTGTCAGGAAGCCAGGCTTTGGAAGCTTCCCCTTTGCAGAGAGCAGGGTGAGCAAGTGAGATTGAATAGTGCCTCCCTGGAGTCATGACAAGGATCATGTCATATAACACTACTGTCACTTACATTCCAACTGTTCCTGAGGTCACCATTTCTTTCCCTGGAGAAGCCCAGCTTTCCCTACTGGGCCTGATGTCCTTAGCCTCTTAGAGGTAGGCGACACTTCAGACTCCTCTGGCTCTACTGTGTCCCCAGGCTCTCTTGTGATCTGGTCCTGAATCTAGGCTGTGCTCCCTATGCTCTGTCCTGCCCTCCTGTCATCTTCGCCATACCTTGGCTTATCACTGTCTCTTCAAGGCTTAATGCTTATACTAGTATTTCTAGGCCCACTCTGTTTCTTTTGCTTTTCACTTTTAAATAGAAATCCCAGACAAACATTATTATGTCATAAAGGAGATTCCTGAAAATTCACCTACAATTCTGCTATGCTAACACCCACCAATTTTTGTTGTTCTGTTGTCTTCCTAGCCTTTGCCAGCAATTTAGTTGGAATGCCTATATAGATCTAATTTTTCTTCTTCGTTCATACAACCATCATTAGCATTTTTATAGCTTACCACAGTATTCTACCAATGTTTGTACACCTTTCTGTTGAATACATGAGTCATAATTTGTATAAACACTCTCTTACTTGGAACACAGTGGCACTATGGTATGCAGTTTCTGGAAAGACCTGATTCATCATGAAGTACTCTGTAGGGATGCTTCAAGGAACACAGACATGTCAATCAGCCTTCACAGCCAGAGATCCTGAAGCTCAGGGTGGCCTTCGCCAAAGATGATCTAGAGTGTGAGGGGAAAGAATGTCCAGGATGTCTGGCCCTGAGCTACATGTCCCTTCAGAGTACCTGCAGACCAGAAGAGCTTCTGATCCAGTTTACATGGTAGCAGGGGTCTGTGGTGTCCTCACAGGGGAAATCTAGATTAGTGGGGCAACATTCAGTGTCCACTTCACCTCAGGATCCCTGGGAGTGGAGTCCCTGACTGAGCCTTGCCAGTGCTAAAGACAGCATGGCTCATGACCTGGCACCTAGGTGTAGAAGGTGTCTCCTACTGTGCTTTGCAAACACTGGCTGATGCACCCAGAAACAAGGTACCTAGTGGCAGCACACCTGCTGTACTCCCCTAACTGTAACTCAAGCTGAAGCCATGCCCACTACTCAAGGCCCACCCCAACAGTGAGGCCATGCTTGCCAATGCTTCCACACCCACTACTTTATGTGAATATTTCTTTGGTTTTTGTGATACCGGGGATCAGACAGAGGGACTTGCATACATAGGCAAACATTCTACTATTCAAACTATATCCCAGCCCTTTGAATTTTGAGATGGTGTCTCTAAATTGCCCAGGTTGGCCTTGAACTTGAGAATCCTCCTATCTCACCCTCCTCAGTAGCTAAGATTACAGGTGTGAGCCACCATATCCAGAAACTTTGAGGGAGGGGGCATGGACTGTGTTGGGGATGCAGCTAGGGCCTGGCACATGCTAAGCAAGTGTTCTCCTGCTAAGCCACACCGCAAGACCACTACCCACCCCTCAACTTGGTGCCCTTTTCTGAATTCCTAGAACATGATTCTGCCTTTGCCATAATACTTATCACTGCATGGATTCTCTACAGTGCCAACCATGAAACCAGGTACTTAAGAGCCATCCTTCCCTCCTCCCCATTTGACAGGCGTTGGCCAGGGGAAAGTAACTATGAATACCTCTGAGGGCATATCAGCCTCATTGGGGCTCTGCACCCAGGCTAGCCATGTCTGCAGTGTTAGGGGTCCAGCTTCCCTAGGAAGCTACCTTGCCCTGCCCCAAAACCAGGTTCAATACAATACAGAAGGAAAAGGAGACCCCAGTCTCTAAGGGAGGGGAATTGAGAGTAAAAGGTAAGAAATTTACATGCTGATTGGCCTTGGGGTGTTAATGCACTCATTTTACAAACAGACCTGACATAGGAGGATTAAAGAACCTTGCTTGTTCCAAAGCTTGCCTTGGGTCAAGAGTCTGCCCTGCCTTACACCATAATGTGGATATAAAAATAACCTATGCCAAGTGAGTGGTGTGGATGAATCTGAAGTTTATGCTAAAACATGCAGCTTTTTTATGCCACATTTTTTTTTTAAATGATGGTCTCACTGTGTAGCCCAGGTTGGCCTCAAAGTCACAGTAATCCTCCTGTCTCAGCTTCATGAGTGCTGGGATTACAGTTGTGTGCCACCATGCCTGGTTTTCTTGGCACCCTTTTGCAGGCAGGCAGGAGAAGGGGCATGCCTAGGGCATGGCTGCAGTCTCATTCCACGTTCCCACCATCAGGCAGACATCTGCTGACAAGCAGGCTATACCTTCTGTGTTGGAGGGTGGATACATAGGTGCATTTGCATAAATAAATCCTGGAAGAATATGAAATTAATGAAGGGATTTTCTCAGATGAGGTGGGAAATGTGGGGGAAGGTACCCATTCAGGGTTAGACTCTTCACTGTGTACTTAAAATTTTGCACCATCAAAATGTAAAAAAGAAATTTAAGAACAAAAGCAGGCTGCTTCTTGACACCCATGCTCTGTGTTCTCCCAAGGTCTCGCTGTGGCCAGTGCCCTGGTGGACATTTCTCAGCAGATGCCAATAGTGTACAAAGAGAAGTCAGGAGCAGTGAGAAACCGGAAGCAGCAGCCCCCTGCACAGCCTGGAACCTGCATTTGATGCTGGGCCAGGGACTCGCCCAGCACCGGGCACGTGCCCACCAGAGCCACCGGAGGGATGGCACGGGCGGGGACACAGTGATGCCGTGTGGGCAGGAGACTGGAAACCCTCAAAGCACCCAATTCATCTGCATGATCACAGACTTCTTTGATGGTCTCCCATCCGCATCCAGCATCTAACCTGTTATTTTTGCGTAGGAAATAATTTCTCTTCAGGTCCAGGGATGGTCTGCTTGTTGTGGAGGAGGCCAGCGTGGAGCCAGCACGAGAGCGAGTAGCGACACCCGGGTTTGCTTATGGAAGCTGTCCTGGGACTGTCTCAGCTGCAAAAACAGAAAGACGGGATCACAAGTCGACCTTCTTCATCTTCTGTTGTTCTTCAGTGTGGTCTTCTACAAACTACTCAGATGAATTCACTTGTTTTTATCTGAAGCCTGTGATCTTTTTTAAAGATGTGCTGTTTACGTTTGCACAATTTCAGCAGATCATCTTTCTTCCAGGAAGTAGCTTTTTTCTAGTTGAGAATTAATAATGTCCATCTCTTGAATTGTGTCAAACTGGCATAGAAGGGGGCTGTATGGAATGTCAAGGTCAGCAGTATTACCTAGAGTGTAAGTGGATGTAATAGGTGTTTTCTATAGCAACTTAAATTTAGTCTTAATCCATTTGAAATTCTTTCTTCTAATCTTCCTCTCCTCTCCCCTCCCCTCTTCTCCTCTCCCTTCCCCCTCCCTCCCCTCCCCTCCGTTTCTCCTCTCTCTCTCTCTCTCTCTCTCTCTCTCTCTCTCTCTCTCTCTCTCTCTCATCCAGATACACGAGCACGTGCACACACATACACACACACTAAGTGCCTAGACTTTAAATAGATCTAGCAATTGGAAAGTTAGTGAGCCTAAGTTTTTACATAATTGCATTCCTACATTCTTGTAAAATTCAGATAGCTACCATTGGCAGTCTGCTCTTTTTCTAAAACCTAATTTGCAACCAGGAAAGAATTTTCTCACCCCAAGGAACATTTGACCTAGCGGCAGGGACTGAGGAAAGCAGAAATGGACTGTGAATGCACCTGTTTTTATTATTCTCAAAAAGGACACTGTCGAGAAATTGCGGTCCCCATGTGGCACCTGCCCCTGCCTGGTGTCAGTCTAGTCCTGATGTTGGTTAGCCCTCTGGCCTCCTCCTGTAGGGCACCACAGAGGAAAGGACTCTTCCATGTCATGTGACTCATGTGAGCAGAATGGAGCATTGAGTGTGCTTGGGACATCGGGTCAAAGAACGGCTGTATGTTCTGGAGCCTGCTCTGAGCCTGGAACCCCCTCAGCTGGGTGTGGAGTAGACACCAGGAGGGGAACAGCACCCTGCTGTCGGGCAACACCTGCCCCCAGCCTGGAGAAGGACCTAGTCATATCTGCCCCTTCTCCCCATGCAGGGCTTGACCCACCTGTCCTTCAAAACCGCACTTGTAGCTGAAAAGGGCAGGGATACCAGTAGGGGTGAAAAGCACATGGGAAAACGGGCAAGAGGGAACATGCTGCCAAATGGAAGATGACCAAATTTAAGAGGTGTAGTACAGTGCCCTGCTCTCCTCCCACAGGGCACTGCCTGGATGTTGCATTTCCCTATTTATGGTGCTCCGTACGCGGCATTATGCAGCAGACTCCCATGATCTCTTGTGCTTCGGAACCTGCAATTCTTTGGCATTACCTGATTTGGATGGACCTCTGGACATCAGTGTTCAAGTATGAATCTGGAAAAATTAACATTCAAAAGAGCAAAAACCTCGGCATTTCACCTTTAAATGCAGTGCCTAGAGAGGAGGTATTATCTCCAACCCAACACTAACCCCACTCCTGTGAAGAAGCTTCTGGAAAGATGTTTCCAAGAAAGTAGAACCATAAAACACTGATGCATAAAACACCTCTACTGTGAGACTTGCCTCTCAAAAGCTTCCTTGTCACATCACTCTTAAAGAGCAGACAATTCTAGAAAAGACCCTGTCAGGAGCTCCCCACACCCCTGCAGAACATGGCACCCGCAGCACCTGGCCCTTCACCTTTGATGGCCAGGAAACCTCTAGGTGAAGAAAGGGAGGCCACAGGGCTTGTCCTCCTACAAGGAAGATCCTCCTTGTTCAAAGGACCAAATTTCCTTGGCCAAAGAAGTCTCTTCCCCATGTTTGTCCCATGCCTTGAAGTAACATGCACCGTGACCCTGCCCAGCTCCTTATGTCTTTTTTTTTTTTTTTTTTTAATGTTTATTTTTTAAAAGGAAGGAAAAAGCAAGTTAAGTTTCACTTCCTCCAGCTGTGGAGAAACAGCTGAATCCACCTACTTCTACTTTGCAGCCAACAGCAAACAGCTTCCTCCAGGCTGAGGGCAGAAGGGTGTGGAGGGAGGAAGAGGAGCACAGCTAGAGCCAGTTACCAAGCGGGAGTGCGTCGACGGTGACTCTGCGTGTCACAGGAGGGCCTGTACATAAAATACTCGTGGAAACATTGACCTTGCATTTGTACATAACTATAGTGTCCAGAATGTTCAGACATTTGGCGTGTACATAAGTCCGACAAATAGCATAATGTATTTTTATTAAATGTAATGATGTCTCAGTTTCACCTGCTATGTTTCTGTGCCATATACTGGGTATCCAAGTCTTGAGACATCCTCTCTCGACTCAATGAAACCAAGAACCAGGCTGCTGATGTGGTTGGCGGCACCTGTTCCTGCTAGATAGCTCAAACAGGGCTTGTCTGTCCGGACCTACCGTGACTTGGACAGTGAGGCTGTATTCCAGGCAGTGCTTAAGGCAGCTCTGGAAGCAGGAGTTTCTGTTGCTGTTGTCACTCAGCATACTCCTTGGCAACATGGTAACCCTCAGGACTCTTGGGCGCAAGGATTGACCAGTCCCATCGATGTGAAAGCTGTTTCTCTGGTCTTTAAACTCAGACTATGACTTATAGAAGTTAGACTCCCAAAGCGGGTTCTCTAAGCTGCACTTCGTTGTGGCTTTGTCTAAATTTGTAATGACCATATCCGAGCACCATTGTCTTTTATAATGAAAACGGGCCAGAAGGTGGAGGCTTGTTGTGAACAGCTCCATTTCCCACAGAGCTCTCCCAGCCTATGTCCTCTTCACCTCTAGCTCCTCCCTGTAACCTGGGGAGGTCTGGCAAGGATCACCTGTAAAGGTAAGAAAGGGCTGCAAAGCAGGCCACCCATTCCCCAAGCGCTGACCTGGAGGAAGACCATAACAGGAAAATACTGACGTATCTGTAAGGCCTCAGGTGCAAGACTGAAGATGTACTAGGAGGCAAAGAAGACAATGCTCTGGACAGGAAAAGACATTTTCCCTTGCAGGCCCAGCTTGCTGCTTAAGTAGAAGAGAGCAGATTGGGGGTGGGGAGGTGATTCACTTCCTCAGGGAGATGGTGTTGCTTTCATAGCTTTCATGAATAGCCTCCATCCACCCATGCCATGAATTCATCCATTCGTTTGACAAATATTTACTGAACACTTACTAACCTAAGCTAATTCTAGGACAATGATGGAGATGGAAAAAGTAACTCTTTAGGGTTACAGGAAGTTCTAAATGCCTCACCGCCCTATTCCAGGAGAGCTTCCCTTGGGTTGGTTTGTGAGACCTGGCCATCCTGAGGGCAGAACAGAAAAGCCTCCTGTCCGTGGAGTGTGCCCTGGCTGCTCTCGCCCTTAGACGTCCGCAGTGCTTACCGGGTTGACCAAGCGCCCACCGCGCAGTTCCTCCAATGGAGACCTCGCTCCCTGCTGAACCCAGCCATGGGCTCTCCCCACCCGCCTGCAGGGGGCGCGCTGGAGTGCAGAGGGAAACCGGCAGCTTCTCTTCCAAAGGCAATAATGGAATCGGCTCAGTAAATAAGTCCGTTCACAAAACATTCTGAACACTAGTGAAGCCTGTTTCGTTGAACTAATTCTGGCTCTGGAAATGTTTTTGTTTTATAGTTATTTGCGTTTTTTGTTCTGTTTTTGGGTTTAAGCTTAGTTTGTTAATATGTATAATTTAGTATCTATTGCACTCATGTACATATGGAGTAAGTATTGTAAACTATCTCATTGCTGGGATGTGGGTGTTATACAGACATTTAGGACTGCAACTTTTTGGTATTTTTTGTATTGTAAAATAACAGCTAATTTAAGCAGGAACAAGAGAATTGAGGTCTGTGCATTTTAAACACAAATGTGAAGCACCTGTATATAAACAGAAGTAAATACTATAATACAAACTTCCTTCTGAAATAAAAGTAGATCTGGTAAAAATGTTTTTCTTGAGTGTACAATTCACGTTTTTGTTTTGCAATTGTAATATTAATCAGTGGGGAAAAAAAAAAAAAAGGAAAAGACTGTTTAAGATATTACCAGTTTTCAGACTGCCCTGAGGAGCACTTGGCAGTGAGGAAGTGAGGATGTAAAACTGCCCAGGGGCCTCTCTAAGTAGAAGTCAGCACTGGGCAGATGATGGTGGCACAAGTGCACAAGTCTGGGTGTCCCGCAGGAGCCTGTGTGCCCACAGAGAGCTGTGGGTGGGGGAGAAGGGGATGCACTGTGCCTTGCCACACTGCTGTCTGCAGTGTCCCTCTTCTTCCCTCCTAAGCTCCCCAGTGTCTCCAGGCTTTCCAAGCTGCTGGATCTGTGGCAGCAACATCTAAGGTTCAGTGGACACACTATGTGAGTTTTCATTCTGTCGGAACTGGTTGCACTGCCCTCTGCCCTCATGAGTTTCAGGGCCCTTCCTACCTTGGTTGTGGCGGTCATACCTCTCCCTGAGTCCCTCTCCTCTGCTCTGCCCCAGACTTGGCACTCTGCTGCCATCTTGTGTGGCCACAGAATTGGCCTTGGTCTTGAGTTTTAGGTGAGGACATCTGCACTCACACAGCCTCTCCTGCTGGCCGTCTGCAGGCTCAGCCCCACTTTGTTTGACTCCTGCCTTCAGGAGTGGACTGAGCAGTTCCGTTCAATGCCTTGGTCTGAAGTAGACTCCCAGTGTTTGAAGTCCCAGAGGGATAAGGCCATTAAAGGTGTGAGGAGACAGATGGGTGGCACCAACAAACTGAGACGTGAAGGGCAGCAGTTCCCAGTCCTCTGGCTAGTTGTGTTGGGAGCAGACAGGGTCACAGTCATGAAATGTCTGAAAAAGTACTAACCAGTTCCAAACTTTGTGCTGAGATGCTCCTCTGTGGGACTCTGCCTGGGGGCCACATGTTCAGAATATCAGGGGGCAAGCAGGTCCCTGCATCACCACTTATATGCAGACCACTTGATCAGCAAGCACTGGACTGAGTTTTGGGTCACAAATCTTTTCCTAAGATTAGAGCCCCTGTTGCAGCAATTAGCTTTTCTCACTCTGATACACAAATCAGTGCCTTGAAGTACGATGCACCTGTAACCCAAACCTAGAAGACTTACCTGGCTTAGCAGCCTGGTAGTAGGCAGTGAAAAAACAGACAACAGGAAGAACACAAGGTCCCTGCCAAGCAATGGCAAAATATATGGGAAGGCCTCCATGTTGGGTAACTGGAAAACAAATCACAAGCATGCTGAGTTTCAACTTGAGGGGGAAGCTGAAAAAAACAATGTAGCATATTCTCTTAAGGCTGCCTGGGCCAAGGCATCATGAGACAGCTGTGGCCTAGAAAGAATCAGTTTATGCACAAGAAGTAAAAGGGATGGAGAGTCCTGGTCCAGGGCCTTGCAGTGCAGGAAAGCCAGCTGCTTCTGCCTCAAGCAGCAGGAGTG